ACTTCGTTTTGGCCTTCTGGTTCGGCAGAGTTAAACAAAAGCATATGAGACCCCACGAATTGTGATTTCCATGCATGTCGTGTCCTAAAAAATTGTCTCACGCCTCACCTTTGTGTCATTATGCTTTTTTACATCAACATAGGCGTGGTATATTGGATTGGTGCGTCACAAATTCAGAATCATTTCACTGTTGCCATTTTCTTCGTATTTATCTATTTATTAATTTTATTGCTATATGAAATCTCGAACGCATGGTAGAAAAGGACGCAAAAAGGCGCGAAAAATATAATAATTATATTGATAAGCATTAAGGAATGTCAACGTTGGTAGTAGTTGCTGTCGTAATCTGTCAATGCTATGTGCTCTAAGTAATTTATAACTATCCATTTTTATGTCTGATTTGGCCAAATTGTCACTAAAAATCTTTCTTTACATGCATCGAACTCACGCACACGCTACATTTCGAACTGGCAACCGCATGACATTTATGTGACACCCCTCCATTCACTTCCTACTGAGTTACACCGATCTATCCACCTCTAACAGCTGTGTCCGATGGTGTTCTTTTGTTTTATGTCAACAACTACACAACAGCTATCTTATTAATAAAAATGGCTGCCGGACCATGTAACAATAGAGTGGCTGCGATTTGTGCCCGAATGGACGGTCACTGTGTCGCCCACTCTCCGGAAAAGGGAAGCCTGGATAGCAGCGTTGTCAGTCAATGGCATTCCAATCAAATAGTGACCGCTCCACAGTTTCCTTTAAATGTCATGAAAGGTAGATAAAAAGTAAGCGAAGATGGTATTGCTGAATTGTAAAAACGGCTCTCACCTTTCCGACCAACGTGAACCATTCCGAATGCAACTTCTCTAGTTGCATTCGACGGCTTTGAGAATCGCCACATTATCACCCTCCGCCTTGATTGGCTGCAGTCAAGCAGTAAGGAAAACCTTTCCTGAACAAGCATTCTCTCATTTTGCAGGGATTGACTATAAGAAAAATAACTGTGGCAATTCAAGGGTGCTCATGTCAATGAAAGTTGCACGAATGCTTTTCTTGCCAGCCGCAAAGCTAAGCTATCCGCTTACGAGCTATTACTTTTATGGATATTTTGAGCCGAAATTGTTTCTACAAATTTCACTTTCCTACCACTATCATTAAATATGGTCTAGCGAAACTGGCTCACGACAACAACAAATATGTCGGGTGATTGACTGTAGCTGTCTAATTTGTCACTTCCATCGTTCCCCTTAGTCATCGAATGAAGACACAACTATTGAATTACATGATCTTAGATTAGCAATAAGTTGGCTTCGGTGCTTGAGGTCACCAGATAAGGAAAAGGGGACTGCCAAGCTCTTTCAACTCTGAAAAGAGCCAATTTGTCATCATCAAGGTAAAGTCAATCTACTTACACTGTTACATGCAGCAAATTATTTCAACAGCAACATGTCTGCAGTCGGGATAATTATAGCGATGGTCGTGGGTAATCATGAGTTATGATAGCCTCTTCCGACTCCTCTTTTGTTACCCATTTCTCCTCTTTTTCCCAACTGTGCGTCTGTTTTTATAATTGTCTTACAATCTACATTTGTCTTGGCCTTCATGTAGCTCGTGATTGCGTACTGTCTTGACATTTCATCTCTTGGCTCATCGCATCGGCAAAGGGATTGCGATTAATTGCAGCCACAAATGCAAAGGTCGAAGGCGAATTGCCTCAGTGTAGCAACTTTGCGCCCTTCTGCACTGTTTTCTCTACCCATGGACGTGATTAGACACATAACTCTGTCATTTTTCTTTCTCAAACCATTATTCACTTTCTAAGGAAACGTCACTAAAGCCATTCGGTATAACGACGAGCAATCAAGCAGCCAGCACCATTTCGTTTCCATCACTGAAGAAAGCATGCACCCAGAAGAGCATGCTTTCTCTAATTGCCATATTTTATTTCGAAGGCGCTGTCGCAATCGGGAAAGAAAATAACCTCTAATACAGCCTCACCTTGGCATATAAAAGCTTGCATTTTGAACACAAAACCTAACTTAGTTTTCCACACTGCAACGACTGCATTCATTACGTTGTGTATGTCTTGCAATCCATGTGGCCTTGAATAACCTGTTTCTTGGTAGGTCAAAAAAGAGCTTTATTGTCCAAGTCATTGTTTTATGCACTGGCACGATGCGCTTAAAGGTTTTACTCGCACACACGATTTATCCAGTGTCATGAAAAGGAATCGTTTACTTGGCTTAATGGGCACACATTCCACCTCCTACGGCTTGACGGTTTACAGTATATTATAAATCAGTGAATACAAAGTACTTGCTTGTTAAATTCTACCACCAGGTTGCTTTAATCGTGTCCTGTTCTTTTGCTTGCTTCAATTAGCGAAGACTACTAACTGCGACACAAGCGAGGGGTACGCGGGTGTGTCGTGGGGGGAAAGAGGAGAAGATTGGAGAAGAAGGCGGAGGAGTGAGTGATTCAAGTAATGCTGACAATAATAAGTTGATAAAAAAGGATTTTGTGAGCGGAGTCGAAAAATGGTTTAAAAGTAGGTTTACTTGCAGTCTACGAGTAGCAGTGACGGTGTTGTGAAAAGTGGGGTTGAGTGGCCACGTGTGCGCATAATTGAGGCGTGAGAACAGTGATGTGAATTTGAAGTAAAATGTAAAAATAATGATAGCGCTAGATGGCGAAACGGACAAGGTTGACTTTGACAATATTTTAAAGTAAATTTGGTGATGTTGATGAAGAGTCTGGGGAGTGGGAACTATAAGAGGAAGAGCAGCTTGAAGGCAGGCGATTTGAGAGTGTGAAGTGAACGAAAAGGAGGAGGGAAGCAAGGGGAGCTGTAACGAATAAGCAATGGGTGGTAGGATTAGAATTACACACACACGAAATGCGCCAGTACTTTTGTGTGTATGTCGTCGATGTTACCTCCACTGACATTGATATGTCCCATAATGGATAGCTGACGGCGTCACATGATGGCATTTGACAGCTGCTGAAGTCGTTTGTCGTCAATGTTGGTTGCAAAACCGATGCCAAATGACTCCCATGACGTCGCTCAACATATCGAACATAATCAACATCCGATTCACCCGTTAATCAATTATTTTCAAATCGCAAAATGGCTTCGTCTTACTTCCAAAAACAAGCGTATTAAATTCGATGGGAAGAATGGCGACACTTCATCTCCCTCATTAGTTGCATTCTATAGTTTCTACATTTCATCCTTTTGATCACGTCAACATCTACTATCGAATAAATTCTCCCTACGACCACTGTAGTACACTTGGAGTGAAACTAAAAAATAAGTTGAGTTTCTCATGTAAGCCAGTACTAATCTAAAGCATTGCTATTCAAAAGTTCAGTGGTGAAGGCTAAACGTTAGTCTTGGAGTGAAGAAAAGTATGTTTTCTAAGGGTTGACCTGTTAAGCTTGCAGCACTCACGTACGCCGATGTTCGCTTTACAATGTATTGAGAGACTAGCATTGTGTCCAGCAAAGCCTCCAAGCGACAAACACTTTTCTTGGCACCAATTATAAGGTTTCATGCCTAATTTTGGTACCGCATTACAGTGACAAATAAGTGGTGTGAAGCATTTCAGGCCCCATAAGTGTTTCGGCTATCAAGACTGTTGCCTTCTCATTTCCTGCTCTCGGAATAGGCGCACTCATCGCTGCACACCGACGAATAAAGGCGGACAGATCACTGAGTGAAGACATCCCCAAACAGCTCCTTCAATACCATGAACGCATTCTGGCTTTCGGAAATGAATGATGACCATCCTTAACGAAATTACAGCGGAAAATAGGGGGAGGCAATGACAGGGGACGAGATGGAGGAGGGCGAACATTGAAGGAAAAGAGGTATTTAAAATCGAAGAGTGGCATCCTCTCAGCTTTGCTGACTGCACTACGGGATGCCTGGGAGCGAAATTGGGAGATTTATGTCTATGTAACAAGATTAAACGATAAGATAGTTTGAGGATAAGAATGGATTGCTTGTTATTGCAAGCATCAGGCCTTCTGTTTACGGCACATGTTCTCATTGGCCATCAGCGGAGTTTTCTTGATGCGCACACCTTTAGTATAAACAATGATGCAAATACGACGATGATGAGGTGTGCAGGATTGTAGGGAGGCATTGAGTGAACCCGTTGATAAATGTATTTGAATGGAAGTGAATGCAACATGGGAGTAACGCCTGCCGCGAATGTGGTGAGATGTGTGCACTCACAAAGAACCTCATCCGAGTTGGGTGAAGACACAACCTTTGAGACATGAAGGAAGAGCAATTTACTTCAACCTCTACTACCCAAACTGTGACAACACTTACACCTATCAGAGATGTTATCGCTACCCTAAAATGGTTTGCAGCGTTAGGACTAGGTTGTGGACCTTGAGTTTCATCACTTGCTATTACGCGTGGCCGTGTATGGTCCGAAGGACAAATCTGTTGAGCGCAAAGATGCGTAAATAAGCTACTAGGCGCGTGCGGGAATGCAACAAAAAACAGCATCATCTTAAATACCTGCACTTATAAAAGGGCGTACATTTTATGTGATTGGGAGGAAAGAGAAGACACCTAGTGTGCTAATAGAGAACCATTTGAAACAGTGTCAAGATTCTAAGCATGATCACCCACTTGCACGTTTGTCGCGATAGCACAACCATGCGCATCTTTAACAATCTCTTATGTAAGCGCTCTTCCTACTTGTCGCATGCCTACTCTTGCGTACATAGTCAATGCAACACTTTAGGCTGAACAAAGTTGAGCTAGCGAGAGTCAGTAAGGTTAGTAATAAACATTGATGAGGAGGAATAATTAAATTCTCACCTTAACAGTATGACTGCTATTTAACAGAAAATTATTCAATATGCATTGCATAATTCGTACCACCCATGTAATGCTACTAACATAAAAATTGTAAAGGAGATCAGCACAGAAAAATACGTTTTCCGTTATTCATTTGGATTGATGACAACCTTCGTCAAGACTTAGCGAATGATTTAAGGAGTCGTATTTGGGAGGAACTCACTTTGCATCCACCACTACGCCAGGCATCCTCACCCGGCACAATGTAAAGGCACGAAGGCATGAAGGCTGACACATAGGCAGTCGTGTTAATCTGATCCCTGAAAGGATATGGCACAGGTGGTGCAGTCGCCTCGTCGTAGTGGTCCAATTCGTGTACTGTGAGCTGGCGATAGCCGATGTAGAGAAGATGCAACTCCTCCGCTCGCATTTTCACACCTTTTGTGCGCACTGCCGCCTCCTCCTTGAGCCTACTCAAGACGTGAGAGTGGATGTGCAGCGCGTAGATGTGCTGCCACTCGGCGGCGTTGGACACATTCCCTAGTGGACATGGTGCAGTGCATTATGGCATGCTATGATGGTCAGCGGAGTGAGGAGGGTGGGAACTCACTGCACACCGAGGTAGAGGAGGGAAGCATGGCCCAGTAGAAGGCGCCATACTCATCCACCACTTGCAGACTCGGCGGAATTGCGAATCTGAGTGGGAGGAGGCAGTAGTGTTAGGCAGTAGCGATGTGTGAATGAGGCGTGTTAGTGGTGGTGGTGGTGGTGGTGGTGGTAGTGGTGTGGACGAAGTGACGCACCTTGCGACCACCAAGTAT